ACCGAACGGAACCAAACCCGAACGGTTCCATAATTATATTTGGACCCGACGGATCCATTTATTAAATACCCGAAAGTTTTGGGTCGGTTCGGGTATCTTCAGAATCGAACCGAACCGACCCACGGACAGCCCTAATTGTGTTTTGACTACTATATAATCTCTCTAATATAGAAATTCCAAAAAGTATTCAGGAAGCTCTTAAAAACTCAAAAAATGAAAATTAGCGGTTGAAAAATCTGTGCACTTGAGAAACATGATACTTGGGAACTCTCAAAATTACCATAAGGGATACATGTAGGATGAAAATAGATATTTAACTTTATATACAAGGTTGCTAGCAGTATAGATCGGTATATAACAAGGTTGGTTGTTAAAGGGTTGACTTAGACATAAGAGATTGACTACCATGAGATGTTTTCCCTTATCGCTAAACTTAATACATTCCGAGTTCTATTGACCTTGACAGCTAATTTTGACTGGCCTCATCATCAGTTGGATGCTAAAAATTCATTCCTTAACAGTAAACTTAGAAGACGAAGTTTACAAAGAAATTCCTATGGGACTTTAAATACAAAATAATGCTTGCAAAGTCCGTAAACTACGAAACTCGTCGTACGGAGGCAATCTCCCAAAGCTTGGTGGAACAAGTTTACAAAAGCCGTAAAGAGGCACAAGTACTTTCAAGAACAGTGAAATATACATTGTTCACTAAGCATTCAACTGTAGGAATAATAGCAACTCTTATTGTATATAATGATGACATTAACATGACGAGATTATGTACAAGAGATTAGTAGTTAAAAGCAGTTCTCGCCAAGGAATTTGAAATTGTAGACCTCAAATACTTCTTAGGCATGGAAATTGCTCGATGAAGGAAGGATATTGTTGACCTCATTTTTTATACCGTTGACGTGGACAACAAATACCGGGCCAACTCAGGTCCACGCAAACTAATTCCTACACGCTTGGACAAATTACTAGTCGACGATGTTATGGGTTTGAACGGGGAAGAAACTTTATAACGTGAGACAAAAATGTTCAGGCGCCAACAAGATATATGAGCGGAATCGCAATATAAGAAACAATCAACAATATACAAACTAAAAGCTAAGATCAAACATCTAACTTTACCAACAAATGATTCAACTTAAGAGGAAAAGATATATAGCTTAAAATAGATGCATTTGCATTACCTTCCAAATGATACGAAGGGAATATTTATAGTGTTACAAGTGATATAGCGTCCATTGGATGAGGGACACATGACCTCATTGTTGGAATGGAGATATTTAATCATCACACTGGGAAATCGATTTTCCTATTGACGATTCAACCCAAATGCATGGTGGAACTTTAGATCGCCTTGAGACCATTGGAGTTTTATTTTAAATCCTAACATGTAAAGGGTAAGATGATAACCTCGAAGGAGCTTTCAATGGTCTAGCCAAATACTTCCTCCCTTAGGTCTTCTCTCTTGTACTTCTTAGGTGCCTCTCCTCACTTTAAGAGAATGAAAATGACTAAAACCCTAACCTTGGCAAATGTGCCCTTAAAGGGCATATTTATAACACACCATTAGGGTTTCATATTAGCACAAATATCCTTGAACTTTATTGTAGTAGACCAATTAAGTCACACACCTATATTGGAGCCAAAAGATGGATCTGACCGAACTCACAAGACTCAAGCTCCAATAAATATTTCTAATTGGGTCAACTCTTGACCAATTGAGATATATCTATTAATCCTAGCTTACTCTACCAAAAATACGGGATTGCACTCTTGAGTCGAGTGAAAATTATGGAAGCCAATCATGATTCGATAACAATATCCTCCGACCACCATTCCACAAGTCAACCCCTGTTTGACCGTCAAGATGTTGAAGTCGACAAAATGACCATTTTGCCCTTCAACATGTATTTCCCACCAAGTCCCATTTCATAAGACGAATTCGTTGTGATCATATCACAACACCAAGTCCAACGACCTCATCATCGGATTACTGAGCTCAGGTTCAATTCCCTTTAGAAAATATCTTAGAGTGATGATCGTCTCATCATGATGATTAACAGATTCCATTATTGCATGTATATAATCTCTAACTGCTTAGCCCAGATTCCCAAAGTACCGAGATTGATCTTCTAATTTAAGACTTCACTCATTGGTACCTCAAAGAACTTGAACTAGCAATTAAAGGTACATTACTGTCTCAGGATTTAGGTAACTTGTTCGATAATCGAGTGGCGTCTCATTTTGAGAGGTCACAAATGAGTCATTCACGCAGTCTTGTTCAACGTGCTTCAAAACGCATTATTGTTCTTATTCCTAAATCTAGACAAATCTCAATAAGAACAATGCAATCTTATCAACATAAAGCGTCCAACTTCATGTACCTATTGTGAACGACATATTTTGATCATATAACGAATTGTGTCTCACTATACCCAAACTGTCGAGTATACAATTTGTTATTTCATATGATAACGGAACCTTAGATTATTGTCGCAAATTATAACATACGAATAATAAAACGTTAATTCATAATGTCGTTACAATATACTTACTATAAGAGGGCATCAAACTAACACTCATTTCCTCAACCGGGGGGGTGGGGGCTTGCCCTAGAAGCCTTTTCAACTCCTGAAAAGCCTCTTCAAACTCCTCCGTTCATTGTAACTTCCTTCTTCCTTTTAGGATTTTAAAGAAAGGGAGACATTTGTCTGTCACCTTCAAGATGAAACGGCTCAAAGCCGCTATGAGCCCAGATAAGCTTTACACTTTCTTTGGTTTTTGAGGGGACCTCAACTTAATCAGAACAAGAATCTTTTATGGGTTAGCCTCTATGCCACTCTGGTTGACCATATATCCTGAGGAATTTCCGGAGGCGACACCGAACGCGCACTTAAGGGGGTTCAACCTCATCCTGTACCTCCGTAGAATTTGGAAGGTTTTGTCCAGGTGCATCATATGGTCATTTGCTTCAAGCTCTTCACTAGCATGACATCCATGCATACTTCCATTATTTTGCTGATAAGGTCAACAAACGTTTTGTTAACGATTCTCTGATAGGTAATCCCGACATTTTTCAATTCAAAGGACATCATTTTGTAACAGTAAATGCCTCTATCAGTGATGAATGAGGTATTTTCTTCGTCTACTGAGTGCAGGGGAATTTGATTATAGCTTGAGTAAGCGTCCATGAAGCTCAAAAATTTGTGCCGCAAGATGGAGTCACAAGTTGGTCTATCCTTAGAAGAGGAAAACTGTCCTTAGGACAAGCTTAGTTGAGGTTGGAGAAGTCGATGCACACCCTTTATTTACCATTGTGCTTTACCAAAGCTGGGTTGGAAACTTCAGGTAAGTGGCCTCTCTGATGAAACCATTGTCTTATCAGCTTTTGCACTTTCTCCTTACCTCGTACCTTTTCAGGTTGAGGACTCTTTTCTTCTGTCTATATGGGGCAACTATAGGATCAATTTTGCAAATAGTAGCAACTAACATTTAGGTCAATGCCAACCATGTACTCATACCTCCAGGAAAAGACATCAAGATTACTGTACAAGAAGTTCTTGAGCCTTTCTTTTGCCTCCGATGGTAGGCATTTTCCTGCCTGTAATGCTTTGGCAGGATCTTGGGGGTTCCATCTCTTCTACTGGGGCTATTTGGGATTCAGATTCAATAACACGAGGGTCTAATTCATCGAGTGTGACCCCCTGTTCGAGGGCATCCGTCATCTCGACGTCCTCCTGTCCGAATTTTGTCCTCTTGGAGCATCGATCACGTCAATATCTATTAGCAACATATTGAAGTCCCTAGGTTCAGCTTTCGTTATCGAGCTCAGGTAGCACTCCCACGTTCCGCTTTGGTCGCCCCTAACTGTGGAAATCCCAAGTTCAGTACCTAGTACCCCATTGTAGGCGGACCTGTTATCTACTACCAAAAATTCAATGAAGTTTAGAGCTGTCTGGGGCGATAATTTTCCTCTTTCTGAATAATGGAGAAACGATACAAATAAATAGAGGAGAGAACAATCTCAACCTCTAATTATACGAAACATAAAAATCTTCCTAAACTAATTCCTCTAAATTAGGGGGAAAAAACTAATTTAGGAAAACTAGGAGTTTGGATAACAACCTACCCAAATCCTTTGTTGAAGGAAACAATAAACGGTAAAATACTTAGAATCCGTGTGCCTTAATTACAAGGATATTTTTGAATTTCTACAGAAACAATTGTGAAGGAAGGCAACCTGTGCGAAGGAACAATTTCTTAGAGAAATAACTATGCAACATGGCATCCACAGATTTTGAACAAAGGAATGAACTACAATATTCTGATATTTAATTATGCAGGACACAACATGGAAAGAATAACAGGGAAGGAAAGAGAAAACAGGAGAAGAAATTTAGAGTAGGAAATTATGCGGTTAGATTCAATATCAATAATAGAGTCGTAAATACAATGAAAAACTTAAGGCCAAATCATAACATACAGATCAACTACAACTACTGCACGCTAAGCTCCTGTAAATATTAGGAATATGGTTTGTGCTGAAAATAATCACGTACCAGTTCAATGTTAGTAGGTAGAGTAGCCCTATCAATGGCCTTTGGAATCCATATTTTAATGTCATTCTCTATTCCACTGCTGGCAAGCATCATAGTATGAGGATGAGGTTCAATACAATTAACCACATCCTTATCTGCTTCCAAGACACGGATGAGCTTCCCGCCCTTCTTCCAAATGAAAATTCGACCACAATCGGACCCACTCACAACATACTCACATCTAGACCCATAGAAATTCACTCCCTTCACAGTCTCACAGTTCAAGTGCCCTTTGTAGACCTGGGGAGCAGCTTTCGCATTGCCGTCTATGTCTGCAGGAGATGCAACAGAATGATGATTGGGGCTCATATCACCTGCATTACTGTCATCAGAGACCAAGGATGTGGGAACTGGATCAGGCCCTAGTCCCATGTCCCCTGAAAAAAGATAGATGAACTCATTATTGTAAGAAGCAAGAAGCTCCCTTTCAGCAGAGAATGCCAACCCTGTAATTCCCACGTTCCCATCACCAACTAAATGTGGAGGACAAAAGAAGTCGACAGGCTGACCAAACTCAGTTGATCCATCCCACTTATACTTGCGAATATCAAATAGTCGAGCAAACTCATCTGATCCGCCAACAGCAAAGAAATTAGGATTTCTTGGATCAATTGCAATTGTATTAAGTTGAACGGCAGACATGTAATTCTGATGCTGGACAGATTGGCAAGTAAAAAGTTCTGTAGCAATTGAAGTTCTCAGGTCAATCTGTGGAATATATAACGACATCATAACATTAGATTTGTACATATGGGTCAGGCAAAGATGATACAAAAAGGTCAGATAGTCGAATAAAATTGATAATACGACAACTATCACTAAAAGCATTGATGTATGGCATGATAGTCATATGCACCATCCCGTAGGTAAATACCGAACAAGCAAATCTTCACTGCAGAAAAAATGTGAGGTCTTTCCGTTTCAATCGACTCAAACAAATTATTAATATGATGCTAAAAAGAAGCTCCAAAGGCCTGATTTTCCTTTGGAGACATGATCTGTGCAACTTAATGAAAGAACCAAACAATGGGGATTGTGGGGTTGGGGTTAGGGGGCTAGAATATAGTAGGATTAAATAAACATACATGCTGAACTAATCCATCTTCTCCACAGGTATAAAATATGTGAGGGCTGCCAGGTTCAATGGCCAACTTATGAGCTCGACCCTCATGTTCTGCTATTAGCTTAGTCTCCACTTTTCCACGCTCAAGAATCTGAGCATGCCTCACCTGAAAGTAGGAACTCACCTTTATAAGAAGAAACTCTTTCAATTTCATAGTAGACAAAGTAATAGTATTACTTTCATACTTAGCAAAGCACTTTTTTTTCAATATTTTCTGCAAGCTCATCTAATGCAACCCTCTTCCCTTCAATTTACAAATATTATTGAGGGTCCACAATGGCACC